TCCAAACGGAGCCTTGCCCCGCCCATTGGGACAAAGGTGGGCGGGGACGATCGCCCAGGAGCCCCGCCCCTGCCGGGTCATTTCTCCAGCGGAGAGGAGAGCCACGCGATGGCCGCTGAAAGGGCATCTTGGCGGGTGAGCCTTCCCGGGTCACAATTAGCCCATAATACGTGGCTAATATTGAAAAACTGGCCCCTGGGAGGGTCATCCCTTAAGGCCAGCAGGAAGCAAAAGCCTTTCTCGTGTGTGTGTTTGTGTTGTCTGTGTGAGTGTGGAGCTCCCAGGTTGTGCGAATGCAGGACAGGGGTGTTTGCAGGTCGTGTGAAAGCAGCCTGATGATGACTTTCTCCAGGATTGAACAGTCTTTCCCATCCTTGGAACGAATCCCTGGAGGCTTTCGAGAAGAGACTGGACTGCCATCTGTCAGAAATGGTGTAGGGTCTCCTGCTTGGGCAAGGGGGTTGGACTAGATGATCTATAAGGTCAGCAGCTGTGGGCTATGCTGACTCTTATCTGACTGCTCCCAAGGTTGCCTCCTTTCATTTTTCTGCCCCAACTCCCAAGGTCTTTCCCACCTACCATCATAGCCGCCGCCTTTACAGCCCAAGAAACTGGGGAGGGTCCCTTCTCTTTCGTTGAGTCTCTTTCTCTACCCATTATGAAGCTAGGCTGTCCATTATCTAACTATTCCCTAGGCAATGTCTCCCCTCCTGGTCTGTAGTGTATGTTTTGTGCTTTTTGCGTCCCGACAGCCGCCCCGAGCCTGCACAGATTACTGGTCCGAATGGAAGCTGTGCCGGAGCATCCGTAATCTATATCATCACTACTACACTTACGGGGAGATGCCATCTTGCGCGCAGTGGAAAAAGGATTACAAGAATTGCAAAGAATGGGAGAGAACCCAAAGCACCGTGGCCAAGGTGCAGTATGGGATCCGGCGAGGGATCCGGAAGATGGGAAGTTATAGAAATATATTTTTTACTCCTACGTTTATTCGTGGCTTCGTGCTGTGGTGTTTTTTTAAGAGAATGCACTGCTCTGGGGTTTTATATTTTGATAGGGTGGAAAGAAGGAGCGAAGGATGGAAGGAAGGAAGTGGAGAAGGGCAACAGGGAGGGAGGGAAGGAAAAAAGTGGAGAGGGGGAAGAGAGAAAGGGAGGGAGGGAGGGAAGGAAGGAAGGAAGGAAAGCAAGAAGGAAGGGGAGAAGGGAAAGAGAGAAAG